AGAATAGCCTTTTTGGTTGCGTTTTGATGGCAGCATAACTACATGCAGTGGCTAGGCGTTAATTCAAGCTGAATTTGTTTAGGAAATTAAATGCAATGACTTGCCCAGTTTTATCATTGAACTGTCTTAATCATAACATTAACTTGTACCTATTGTGAGTCTTTGCTTCATGGGATGGTCTTCAGCCAGGATTTTCATGAGCAGGAAATTACAAAAGGTTGCTTTCGTTTTCACTTTCTTGCAATTAATGCAAGTCTTGGATTATTTTAAGAACAACAGTGATAAGGTCAATGGGTAATCTTGTTTTAAAATTAACTTGTTTCAGGAAATAGTAATTTGAAAGGGTTAAAGATCGTAGTGCAAACTTCCAGTCTCCTTGCAAGCAAATAGAGATTCAGCATGGACACGGGATTCATACAATGCTGTCATAAAGTGTTATATTTGAGCAGTTGGACTGTTTTGTGAATTTGTATAGGAAATCCCTATCTTTTAAAGTGGGGAAGAAATTGGGCTGTTAATTTTTTTTTTATTAAAAAAACATTTTTTTAAAAATATTTCAGCCAGTGATATTACCCCAGTGCCACGTCAGTCGGTAATTCTGCACATCTGATTTTCTTCAGTATCAAAAGGAAATAGTACTGGTTATATGTATGGGATGCTGCTTGTTTTTATTTTTTTTTTCTGGTTTTTATAACTGTTAATTGAAATTCATAGTCGGAGAGAAAGGCACCAAATACTGTCCTCACATGTTTTTTTTTTATTTAGAGAACTAGATATGTGGGAGGGACAGGGCTTCAGAGCACTAAATCCTAGGGACCTCTGAGGTCAGTTAAGACTTAGAACTTGCTCTGTCCAAATACTTCATTGGAGTATTTCATGGGATTTCTCTTACAGGTTAGAACTTACTAGTTTCAGAATAAATACTAAATAGGAATGAAACGGAATCAGTAAAAAGACCATTAAAAGCAATGTAAATAAATAGCCTGTTCTGAACTACGGTATATAAAACTGAAACTTAAAGAGATCAAACTCTCCACTTCAGAGAAACGTAAGGGGATTTACATTTAATTAGGCACTACTAATAGATTGTTTTTTGGGGTGAATAAATAGTCTAGGTTCATTTTATGTATTTACCGTATTTTTAGGTAGTTGCACATTCTGTCTCCATCTGGAATTGTGACTAACAAAAGCCTCTTATTCACGATTCATTGCAAAATAAGCTGTAATTTAACTATGTTCTGAAGTGAAGAAAGGCTAAGCTTGTTTTATTGCTAGCTATATTTTATCTTGGGATTTGAGTTAAAGGAGCAGGTACAAGTAGTCCTTCACTTATAACCACAACTGAGCCCAAGATTTCTGTTGCTAAGCAAAGCAATTGTTAAGCAATTTGTGCCTCTTTTTATTGCCTTTTTTGCCATACTTCTTAAGCAAATCACTCTCGTTGTTAAATGAATCACACTGTCATTAAGCAAATCTGATCCCCCCCCCCCATTGACTTTGCTTGTGGAAGCTGGCTGGGAAGGTTACCAGTGGTGATCACGTGACACCTGGTCAGTGCAACTGTCATAAATACATGCCAGTTGCCAAACACCGAAATTCTGATCACCTGACTATGGGAATGCTGCAAAGGTTGTAGGTATTGACAAATGGTCATGGGTCGCTTTGACCTCAACTTACAACAGTTCATTTAGTGACTGTTTGAAGTTAATACAGCACTGAAAACATGACCGTTTTTCACATGACTGTTGCAACAACTCCATGGTCACAAGATCAAAATTCAGATGCTTGGCAACTGATTCATATTTATGACAGTTACCCTGTTCCGAGGTCATGTGAAGGTCTTGTCACCTTCTGACAAGCAAAATCAATGGGTAAACCAGATTCACTTAACAACTGTGTTACTAACTTAATGACTACAGCGATTCACTTAACAACTCTGGTAAGAATTTTGCACCCATTTTGTGAAACGGTACAATATTCATTTAACAATTCTCTCACTTAGCAACAGAAATTTTGGGCTCAATTTTGGTTGTAAGTCTAGGACTGACTGTAATCTTTTCTTAGATTGTTGAAGATTGGACCAAGCACCCAGACAGCTATAATTTTGCCTATTGAGATATTTCAGTGATTTTTCTTCTCGGTTTTGTAACTACATTGTTTATCACCCAGGTATTAAAATTGAAATTTAGAGCTTTTTTTGAAGCTCTGAATTGATGCTTTTATCAAAAAATATATATATATATAATCAACTATAAAATGAATGAAATTAGAATTCTAAAAATTGGGAATTGTTTAGTACTTTGTGGCATTTAGTTGTAACTTTAACAGATGCTTTATGTTTTTATTAATGAAGCTAGTCATTTTGAGTTTATTTTATGGTCTTCTTCTCCCCCCTCTAATCTTGTCTAAGGAGTATTTGAGTATTTAATAAATTTATAGGCCGCCCAATCCCGAAGGACTCCGGAGCACAAAAGAGCTAGAGGAAGTTCCAAAAAATCCTATTATGAACTAATTCACTATTAATATGGAAAAAAAGAGAAGCATGAAAAGAATATTCTCATAGTTACCATTTTTTTATTGCAGGAAGCCAAACCTTCAGCAGAGGATTTGGGTGATAAGAAAGAGGGAGAATATATTAAACTTAAGGTCATTGGGCAGGTGAGTTCTAATGCATTCTAGTTAACATTTTTTAAAATATTTATTTTTATTGCACAATTTTTCTTTACATGTCTCTATGACATATTTAACAGATCTATGGCATTATTCATACAACTAGAATCAGTATTTGATACATTATATGCATTCTGTTTCCAAACATTCTAACCCTAAGTACATTTCCATTTCTTGTTTTTATTGTCAATTCATTCATACCATTTCTTCCATATCGCATAGTATTCCGAATCATCCTTTTCCTTTAACTCAAATGTGAGCTTGTCCATTTCTGCACAAATATTTTTTGGATTACTAATCCCTCTGGTGGAATCTTATCTTTCTTCCAATATAATGCGCAAAAGCAATCTTATGCCATTATTATGTGTAACATCAAGTACTTTAACTTTCTATTGTATTTTGCCCTAAGAAACATTTCTCTCCTGGGGATAGTTAACATTTATCCTTCCTAAATTTATAGGGAAAACCATATAGATAATATTATACAGTACATGAGTTCTTTTTCTTTCTAATAAGTACAAGCTCTGCCTTTTTTTGTCTTCTAAAATATGTTTTAATGTAGTACTATATATATGTAGACAAGTAAATGGTGTTTATACTTTGTAAACACAAGTATTCTTGCATAAGAGGACTCTACAAAAAATCCTTAACAGTCCTATCATAATCAGGAGTCTGATTTCGTATTGAATTTGAGCTTTGCTGATATTACACAAGTTATAAATTCTAGAAACAAAACAGATGTAGCCATTCTATGCAAGCTTCAAAATAGATATTGAAAAATAAACAGGTTGATGAGTAAGAATCAACGTGTTACGAGTTTTTATGATTTAAAGTTACGAAAATGTTTCCTATAATAGGATATTCGAAAAATTTCTAGCTTTGTTGCAAACTTGGAACAAAATGTTATTGTGTACCTCCTAATTTGTTTTATTTTTAACATTGTTTTTATAATGGAAGATTTTACTTGCAAGTTTACATTTCAGTATGGATTCAATGGTAATAAAGAATCTTGACAGTAAAAATCTATTACATTTACTTACCAAATCTATACTAAGTTACTTGCACTTTATCTACAGGAACGTTTTTATTAAAATATTTTTATTAATAAGTAAGAAGAATTAACAATTAAACCTTGCTTTTGGGCAGATCGCAGTCTCTCTTTTATGCCCAAAATGGTTCTTGATCACTGAACTCATGGATTCTTATTCCTAACCCTATTGCAAGCTAGTGGCAGTAGGGATGTACCCTCTTTTATTAGAAAATGATTTCCCCAAATCTCTTGTGTGTGGAAGAATTTAAGAAAAAGCAAATTGTGAGGTGTAAGAAAGCTTGAGACTCAAGTGTGGAATGAAACATTCTGTTATATCTCAAGCATAGGATCATACTTAAGGAAAAAGGATTGGTTCCAAGCTCAAAACATTTTACATATCTCTAATAAGTGCCATCTTGATACTATGTAGAATTATTATATTCTGTGTTCAATTTGTAGGACAGCAGTGAAATTCACTTCAAGGTGAAAATGACAACGCATCTAAAGAAACTTAAAGAATCATACTGTCAGAGACAGGTTTGTGACTTGAAGTTTTCCTTGCTCACGTGATGTCAAATATAAGTTCAATTTTTATGCTCCTCTGCAACTGACTGAAGGTATTACTGCATTATCCAAAAATTAAAATAAAGAAATGGATGGGAGATGGTAGTGAATATCTGGGTTTTTGTTCAATCAGTTTAAATTGACTCTTTCCATTTCTCTTCTTTTAGGGAGTCCCAATGAATTCACTCAGGTTTCTCTTTGAGGGTCAGAGAATTACTGATAATCATACTCCAAAAGAGGCAAGTATTCTTGGAGATCAATACATAATATTGTTTGTAGTTATTTCAGCATCGTATAGCTTTTTGGCAACAGCTGTTCAAAGGAGTTAGATTGACCTAAAACAAGTAAACAATCCAATCCTGGTTATTTAAGAATAGAAATTAATTAATTTAACGAAATAGATTTCCCTTTTTAAATTATATTGCTGAATTGAATAAAGCTTGAGGAAATCTGGGGTGGATATTTGCTTTGAAGAATTGTCAGCACTTTTCAGATATTGCAGTACAAAACAAAATTTTGGATATTTATTATTTGTAAATATCTATCTTTTGTACCAGGCTCTCAATTGATACATCTTAAACTTCTAGAAAAACTAAATTAGATTCTGGATGTCTTCTATCTCATATAAATGTACTCAAGAGTTTGTATTACACAACAATATTCAAGACATGTTTTCTTGAAAAGCAACTCCTACTTCCCATATGTCCAAATGTGAACTATGCTTTAACGCTCTCATGTTTGACAAAGTTCTCCAGAATTGTTCAAAAACATTTGACTGTATAGTATTACTCTATAAAACTTACATTTTCATTTTTCGGCAAAGAAAAATAATTGATACTGATTTTTAAAAGTTCCCTTGGTATACAGTTTTAGGTATCTATTGTGCTTGTATTTTTTCTGGCACAAAGTTTATCTAGTCATTTTTTCATCCTTACACTAGGATACAGAATGGTGAATAAATTTTGATTAAATTTACAGAAATAAACATTGCCTGAAAAGACACATTCTGAAGGTTAAATTGTGGTTCTAAAATTGTTCTGTATGACTCAAATGGATTCAAATAAAAATGATGTCCCATTATATTACAGAACTTATTTTCAAGTAGGTTAATTAAAACCTTTTTACAGTTAACAGAGTTCTGTTTGAATTGTAAATTAAAACTTGTATGTGTAATTCATGTTTTGCTTTTTGTTGATACATGATGGAATAAAATATATCACTTTCCAGAAAATGAGGTCCAGATATTTTAAAGATAGCAAGGTGCTATTAAGAAGCCTTTCTTGCAGGTGCAATCCATGTGATTATTACTATGACAGTTCTGTTTGATCTGTTTTGTAAAGGGCTGTATCTGTAACTTTTAAAAGTTAGTCCTAGATTTTTAAAACTATATTTTCTAAAAACTGAACAGTTTTAAATGTTACCTGAATTAAGTAAAACAGCAGAGTAACATTTGCATTTTATAAACTGATTTTCAAAATTTATCCATTAAACTGGTAAGTGCTGGCTTTTGACGAGAAATGCATTGGTCTTTAAAAATTGGAAGGCAGGGCACATGAAAATCTACTTTATCTGTTTTCTTTCATATTTGGAATTTTGGATTCAACCCGTGTTCCTCTAAAATATATTTAAAATTGGTTTCACAACAGAGTTTGGATTATTTTATTAGGTAAATAGTATAATTCAATTTTGGGGATTTGAAGATAGATAGATAGATAGATAGATAGATAGATAGATAGATAGATAGATAGATAGATAGATAGATAGATAGATAGATGATAGATAGATATAGATATA